GCTGGAGAAGCATAAGCTCACTCTTCTGCTCAACATTATGAAGTCCACTTCGTAGCTGGTCCCTTGGCAGGTTCAGTCTTTCCAAGCATGCAGGTTGCTTGTGAATTCCGTATTTAATTAGTAACTATTTAATATCGTGGTCTATAGCCCTGAAGTTTTCCGGCTACAGCTTGGATTTGTGGAAATTCAACAAGCTTAAAGTTTAAATAATAAAGAATATTTACCTTAAAAAAATGCTCTACTTTGATCACTTTTCACGTACCTTGCAGATTAAAGAACGAATTAAAATAATTTGTATCGAATAATTATTTTATTTTTTGCAAACGTTAATGTAGGTAATTGCATGCAGTATCAGATCATTTTTTCAATCGAGAATGATTTTTGCCGCGTTTTTCATTAAAAGTCAACTTATTTTTTGAACAATTGCAAACACTTTTCGAATTCAATGTTGCTTTTTTCGCAATCAGTAACGATGAATATTTTCTAAGATGGTGGAGGAGGAACTGTAAATTTTAATTAATATCACAAAAATTATTCAGAATTTTCCTTCAATATGACAGAATACTAGAACAAATTAATCCTATGAATAAGATGTAATCGCACAAGCTAACTGTAAACATAGTCCTTTTTTAAGATATTCAACAGGAAACAATCCTATTTTCTACTCATCAAACATCACTGAATATTTACTTGAACCTGTCAACTTTTGGACTTTACAAGTTATTCTGCAACACTGGTATCTTACAGTTAAATTTACCTTAATACTTTTAGTTTCTAATATTGTAATACTTGCAATTCTGAATGCTTCTTTCCTCTGATTTGATTGTTGTAATCCGCTGACTGATAATACAGTTTCGTGCCTCAAGACTTCGATTCAAGATATTACTTGCATTTTAAACTAGTAGCAATGTTAAAACCTTATGATGAGCATCCAAACTCCCGCTGATCTAGCTTGAACTACTAAAATCATATTCTAAACTAAACTTTCTTTTATTACTCTGATCGAACATGTAGTTTAGTCAAGAATGCGTTTACAGAACCTGGTCAAGTTGAATTTCAACACTCATTCCTGCTTTTCCAAGAAATCAAGCTTGAGAGAATAATCAACTTCCTCATAAATCTAAAATATTTCGAACGCCAATCTCGTGAATAAATCCGTCGAATGTAACTATAAGTCATACCCATCCCTAGTACGCATTGGTTAAAGTATTTATAGAGCTTTTATTCATTACATTAGTGCTATAACAAGTAATACCATGTAAACTCTTAAAAGCAAATATTTTTACCGAAACTGAAGCATAACAGCTGCTGCTTCAAAAAGACGGACAAGTATGCTAAATGTAACAAATTATAACGAAATACAGGAATAATTATAAATCCACCAATGAATACAATAAATTAACCGATATTTTTGCCGAGTTTTTCATTAAAAGTCAACTTATTTTTTGAACAATTGCAAACACGTTTCGAATTCAATGTTGCTTTTTTCGCAATCAGTAAAGATGAATATTTTCTAAGATGGTGGAGGAGGAGGTGGAGCAGGTGGTGCTAATAAGCTTGATAAATCCATTTTCCGCACTGGTGCAGGTGGCGGTGGTGGAGGAGGCATAAAGCCAAGTCCAAGTGACATAGGTGGTGGCGGCGGTGGTACAGGCATTGGATATCGGCTTGGTGGTGGTACACCCCCCCATCCACGACCAATGGGTGAGCCCCAAGCAGCAGCGCTAGGTATGTAAGATGGTCGCGGTCGTGGCGAATTGAAGAAATGAATACCTTCAGTTGGTCCAGGTAAACTGCTACCAGCATGTGGAACTCCACCTTTCGTATTATATTTTTCCACACCTATAATAAGCGATATACAATGTCTCTTTGGTTTCTTCAAATATTTAGTCTTAACACATTAATTTTTTGGAAGAAAATGATTGGTAGTCACATATATTCAACAAGCATATTATCACTGACTTCTGATAAAGCATTATTTAAACAATAAACACTCACAAATTAACTCAGCAACGTTCCATAGTAAGCATTACGTTGAATATAAAATGGCTTATATTAATTGTAAACTAAATTAAATTTTTTTTCTCCGCCAATACTGAAAACTTTACCTTCTGGTTTGGCTAAATTGATTCGAACAATTGGCGTGCCAGTGGGTAACATATAATTCTTTGGCTGCAATGGACAACAGATGAACATAACAAATAAATAGCATCTACTTGAATTATTTAGAGTGAAATTAATTAAAAACAACTCGTTTTTTCTACACGCCTAATCATATAATACTTCGAGGTAAGCAAACAATTTTTACAGAGAAGAAAATAGAATTACGACAGAATTAAAAATATTTTATAAAAATTCCTTTGGACACACGTACGACACATGATGCGTTTGTCCAAAGGAAGTTTAACTTGGAAAAATACGATCACTAGATATTTAACTGTAATGCAATCTGATGTAAACTACGTATTGCATTTAACTGTTACTGGCCTATATTTTATTCAAAATGGAAAACATTTTTGAATGATTTTATAGCTTATATGCCAAAACATTAGTAACATCTAGCTACTGATGGTCTTTGCAAAAACAAACTTTGTTGAAAACGCCAATACCAGTACTGCTTCCAGCACCTGGTTTTCCTGCAGCATTAAATGACTGCGTTGATGGCTTTTCTCCTAATTCTGCCATTAAAGCGGAATACTAAAAAACAATAAGTTGTTTAGAAAAAAACCACACCTCTAAATCCAAAACATCAATTTGAAGAGCAAATTACACTGACGATAACAAACCTCATCATCCATACCGCTATCTTCTTCAGCAAATGCTCCTCCTGGTCGTGGTTTCTTACAGTCCTTAGCAATATGTCCCGCACCACCACATAGAGTACAGATAATGTTTGCAGTAACATTTGGAGCATCGGGACATTCCCATCTGAAAATAACTTTCACAAACAACGAAACTAGTTGAAGTAATTATGAAATTTCAAAAACTTTAACAAACTAAAAAATTAACATAAAAGTTTTTAAATAATGAAAAACGGAGAACTTATTGCAGCAGAAAACTGTTGACAGTTATTAAGAATTCACTACAAAATAAATCGTATTCATGACACCACTGGAATTATTCTTACAAAAGCCATAATGTACTATATAATTAATGATAACGTTTTATGCTCATCTGAGCCACAATTGCTACATCGAGCACCGCTCGCCAGATCTTCGGGGCGTAATGTACCATTTAATAGTGCAAGCTCTCTCAACTGTAGTTTTCGTAACTCATTCTGACCATCTGGTATCATTAAGGCTTCATTTATGATAGATGTTATCTGAAATTGAATCAGGCATTAGACTGCATTTGTGCCTTTGGTTATAAAATAAACGCACATCTTAAAATGAAGCCTTTTTAGTTATTTATTCTGTGAGAGTTCGTATATAATAAGAATTATTTTAAAGACTTTTTTACATCTTAAAATAAAGCTTTTAATTTAAATACTTAAATACAAACAAAAAGATAATTAAAGTAAATCAAGCACCAAAATTAAAAGCGCTCGCTGCTATAGTTATTTAGATAAATGAAATTTTGTTGTTGTTTGACTTTGATTTTTTTTCTGTATATCCAAGTATCCAGGTACGAAAATTCATAATTTGCAGAATACACAGAAATCAAACAACAAAATTTGTACACCCAATAAAAACTAATTGAAGAAGTTTTCTATACAGAAAAAAAATCAAACTGAAGTATACCAACGGAAGCGAAGTGCAAAACATAATACTTAATGGAGAAAAATTGGCTCACTTTCTCACATGCTTTCTTTATAACTGCATAATCAGTGCCTGTAACATAAGCATGAAGAGGTTCATTTTCACCAGGCATTGGTCCCTCACGACGTCCAAGTTTGCCTTCTTTTACAGAACCTTTTCCGCGAATGATTATTTTAGCACCTGTCTAAAAATCGCAGCACTATTACTTTTAATGAGAAATATTTCCAATTTGAACGCTGTGAGAATAGCACAAATATGTATACTGCTTACAAAATCTTGTAACTTTAGCAACTATCTAGAGAACCAATGTAATAAAGAAACACACTTATGGATGCCATAGTAACAATAACAAACCTCCGCTTCTAAGGCTTTTAAAGTATTTCCACGCGGACCTATCAGTAATCCTACAAAATTGATTTCAGGATGATTTTCTTGTGGTATCCACACTTTATCGTGCAACCGTATAGTAGGTGCTCTAAAAATCAGAAGATTCAGTTTCCAGTCTTTTATTCCAATATGACATTGTATGTGGTATATAAGTCTCAACTCAATGTGACATGTCCTTGGTACACCACTAAACCGTAAGGTTAAGATTATTTAGAGCTTTTAAAATTATACTACTGACACTCCAATAAAATATACAAGTATTTCAATAGCACAAAGAAATTTCACAAAAAAATAAATAATTTTAAATGTGCAAGTAAACAATAAATTATACAAATAAAGCAAAAAAGACACAGACCTATAATCTGCTGGGGGCTTAAAGTTTGGGTTTAATTTCAACAGTGCCTGAATTTTTTCATGCCGCAATTGCTCTAACTCCTGCCTTTTCCTTATTTCGCGAGTATTTAATCGTTTGCCACTAGCATCATAAATTGGTTCTGGTGAAGGGCTTCTGTAGAAATTTACTAAATTAGATTATTAACACATTAAATGATGGAGCTGAAATTCTGCCTATATTAATTTTAGTATTATTAATATTATTTGAACTGTTGAATATCCCAGGCAGCGATTTGTCCACTCATGAAAAGTAGAGGCTAAAAAGGCTAAAAAAGAGTTGATTAGAATTAGGATTAGTCAATGTGGTAAAAAATTCCTGAAAAAAATTTTTTTTAATTCAGGTGCAAGGAGGTGACAGACAGCGTATGCCACATTCCAAGCTGGATCATCAAGTAGCCACAAGAATTATTCGCCTAAACATAATTATTATAAATTTTTTACTTTTTTGTTCTACCACAAGTTGATTCTTGTAAAAAAAGGGCTTGAAGTCAAAAAAAAATTTGGTGATTAAAACTTGAGTGGTTAGAAAAAAGATATAATTCTTAAACCGCTTCAAACAATGGCTTTGAAGAAAATTTAATTATTTAAGAAATAATTTAGCCAAGACAAAGTTCAGACTACTAGCCAAAAATCAAAATCTCAAAAAATGGCCGATGGAAAATCCTATGTAATGTACTGTCCCACGCTCTGACTTGACATGTAATGTATTTGATGGAGCGACATATGCTTCAGGAATTGTTTTGATTATGAAAATATTGACCCCAGGAAGTGGCTTTGGATTTAATGAAACCGAAATTTGTGAATTAAACTTGTTTAATTTATAATTCAGATGAATATCACACCGGTACAGCAAGAAGACTTGCATCACCATCATGGATAAACAGTTAGGCTAGAAATATTTGTAAAATTGTTGATTATCAACAAAGTAACAATAAACGTTATCGTTTATTGGTTTATGACCTTAAGGCTGGATCCGGATTGCCCATAAAATCGCCAAGACGTAACTTTCGCGTTGCATCTTCCACTTCCAGCTGAACTGAAATAGGTGGTTATGGGGCCACCCTCCCCCATTTATTAGTTAAAATCAACAACAAAAAACATATGCAACAACGTATGCGATATTAATTAAATTTAGTGAAAACAACCAAGGAAAATTGGTAGTGTCGAAAAACCACACGATTTATATTCCTCAGAGTTTTTCCAATAAAAATCATCTTTTTATATTTCATAGTCCGATGCTCTTGAATCTCCATCAAATAAAATAACAAGCTTTAGAGGTCTCAAATAACAACTTTCGTTTTACAATACAAGATTCAGAATTGAAATAATACGAACTTAGTAACCATTAAGATGAAATAAAAATAAAAATTTAACGAACCTGACAGATCGACAAGATGCTTCATAACAATATTTTTGGAAAAAATTTTTTGTAAAAATAAACATAAAATATAAGTTATTAGTTTTTAAAAAGCAAACTTATGATTTATGCACTTTGCAACAATAAGCAATTAAAAATCTTACGCAAATATGCCTGACGCTGATCATCGCTAAGATTTGAAGGTAGTATCGTTGGCATGCCCGGTACAAAAGATTTATTCGTACTCCAACGTGACTTTCGAGACTTTTTTTCAGGCTGACTATTATCATCCTCAATATTTTCTGCGCTGTCTTCAGTTTTCAATTTGTCTACTACAACATTGCTACGTTAAAGAAGCGAAATAACTTAAAAGACTAACTTTACTTCTAAAGAACAAGCTATGCACATACCAACTTCAGGACGAGCCAAAATTGGAAGCACACCCTGTGCAACTTTTAATTTTGCCGAGACAGTAGCACCAACCTAAAACCATGTTAAGGCATTAAACAAATGTTCTAAAGCAGTAATAAAACTATAATTACCAGTAATAAAATTGAATTACATAGTCACCATAATACTATTACACATCAATTGATAAACCCCCTCACAAAAAGAAAGATGCGATGAATAGAGAAAAAATATCTTCAAATCAATAAAAGATGAAGAGGTTGTTGCCTTCATAGTAGTTGGTCAAAGTACAGTAATAAGATATGAAGAGAAGCAAACTCACAACTTGATTTTCCAACACATCATTTGGTTCTTCAGGTCTTCGAGATGGCGATTTCGTGCGATCTTAAAAATTGGACAGCAACTTACAGACACACTCATATCCATCCAAAGTATTACTCATTACTGAATGTTTGTTTAGTCTACCTTTATTTTTTTTGTGTTTACTTCGGCTCCTGCTTCGTTTACTTCGACTCCCACTTCTTTTACTTCTACTTCTTTTACTTCTACTTCTTTTACTTCTACTTCTTCTACTTGTACTTCTTCTACTATGACTTCTTTTACTTCTACTGACACTTCGTCGATGACTACGACTTTTCCTGCTAAGACTATTGCTCTGTCTGCTGTGGCTGGATTTCCGAGAATGACGTCGACTGCAAGAACTAGAACGACGTTTAGTTCGATCTCGTGAACGTGATCGCCTTCGCTTGTGACGAGAACGAGACCGAGAACGTGAAGTACGAAGCTTTGGTGACGTATATCCTGAAACTTTTGGAACATACGACTCTAAATTTAATGAATCAAGTTCGAAATGCATCCAAAACAAAAAATAATATTCATAGTAAAACAATATTCTCGACGAGGAAACAAGCATCAACGGTAAATCTAATACACAACAGAAAATTAATAATAAAACAATTTTCTTTCGATAAAGATATACTATGCGACTGATGTTTACCAATTCAGAAAGTTTTGTTAAAGAATGGTTAGAAAATGGCGAATGTGATTTGTAAGAGCTCTTTGGTGATGAGGAATCAATGAAATATTATTAACAGACATGTATGTAATACATACACTCATTTGCTCCCTACAAAATCTTAATCGCATGAGTCATTTAAAGTTACCTGAATTTTTACCATTGCTTCCCTCTGTATTTGGAACTATAGTTGATTCCCCAGCTGCAGCCGCTGCAACAGCAGCTGCACCAAACTTTCTTACGAAAGGCATAGGCTCCGTATTACCACCTGTTTTATCCCGTGAACGTGACATCCCGCTTTCCCTGTCTTAGTTATTACGAAGGACTGAGGGCTGAAAAGACTAATTTAGAATCATGACAAATGTAATATAGTAAAAGCTAATTTCAGAACAGTAGCTAACAATCAAAAAATTACGGGATATAAGAATATATGTCGTTTCATAGAAAGATATCAGTATTTGTTATGCAACAAAACACAAAAATAGTGGACAATAGACTTCCTGATATTTTATTATATTTAAAATATTCCAATAACATGAAAACGAATTGAACAAGTAAAACAATGCAAAAGTAATGGTCATCATAATGAATTTCCTTGTGCTTCTGCGTTCTTTCTTCTCTGCTCCGTTAGTTCACCACATTCTACGATTGAGACCTACAGTACATTCAAATATTAAGCATGTATCGCAAGGAATCAATTTTATTTGGATGATAATACATTTATATTTCTCAGATTTATATTATTTCAATCAGCAACTGAAGAAGATAATAGATTTTTAAATTATATTATTAACAAAAGATTTTGTTGACAATGAAATGACATATCCGAATTTTTATATGAAAAGTGAAATTATAACATAAACTTTCAATTTTAAATAAATACGCTATTTTTAAATAAATACGCTATTCTGAATCCGGACAGGAATATTTAAATAAGGAGATACACCTGCATCATTGGCTTCCCACTTTTACTGCCTTGCTGTTCAACTTGTCTAACAATATTCATCCCTTCCAGTACATGTCCAAAGACAACGTGTTTATTGTCAAGCCATTCTGCTTTTTCTGTACAAATAAAAAATTGAGAACCATTTGTATCTGGTCCACAGTTCGCCATTGAAACAATACCAGGCATTGTGTGTTTGAGCTGAAAAACTACAGAAATTCAGACTCGTAATATGAAGCAAAATGAATACCTGGTAAAGTCGAAATCTACTGAAGAAATTAGAAAATGTTTGGAATAACAGTTTCTTGCGATTTTGAAGATGCTAAACCTTGAAATTTTCATCTGAAAATTTTGAACCATATATTGATTTGCCACCGGTCCCGTCTCCTTTTGTGAAATCCCCACCTTGTATCATGAAACGTGGGATTATTCGATGAAAATGTGACCCTAAAAAATTTTAGTATACTTGAAGAGCATAAAAACTAAAAAACATAAGAATTGACGTATTTCATTAACAACTCCACACTAAGTTAAGATCGCCAAAACTTGACAGCAAAACGTGCAAACAAAATTTAAAATGACGCTTTCTTAAAATAATATCACCTTCATAACCAAAACCATTTTCTCCTGTACACAGTTGTCGAAAATTCTCCGCTGTTTTTGGAACCACATCAGATCGTAGTTCAATCACAATTCTTCCAATATATCTGCAAAAAGTACTTATACATGGCTTATTTAAATTTGACATGTACACTCCTATTCATACCTCACCGCCGCCCAAGGTTTCTGAATAATTTTTCAGAAAAATAAACCGCGCTGACCATCACAAATCTTTTCTAATTCAGTTATTTAACAACCGATAACGCTAAAAAATTAATACTAGTCGCATAAAAAACTTTCGATATGAACAACATTAATTTACATTGCGTACGAAGTACAACGATGCACAAAAACAAACCTAAATGATTCATGAACACCTGACTTAGGGATCACTCAACAATTTGAATTCAAAAAGTAATTTTAAAAGTACCTGATCCCTATTCTAATCCCTAAGTACACACGTGGAAGCATCGGTTTTACTGGACCAATGTCTGATTCACCTGAGGTAGTCCTATCACCTTCATTATTTTCGAAAGATGTACTTTCTCCAGTACCATACTAAATATCATAATAATCATTATTCAACTGCTTCAAAAAATCGATGTCACGAACCTGAAGGATAGTGTTCATCCTGGGAACAAAATTACAAAACACATTTCATAATTTTTTGATGAAACTGAAATAAGTTTTTTTTTAAAGTGCCATTAAATTATAATTCATATTTGTAGTTTAAGGAATAAAGAAAATTCTTGCATATATGAACTTGCAGTTTTAAGCCATTCATCATCGGCCCACACTGGCCGTTGACTTCGTTCATTCGTTTTTGGTGGTCGAGCAAAATTACAACGGATCGTTCGTCCAAATAATTCGGAATCATTCATATTATCAATTGCAGCAGCAGCATCTTCAGCAAGCTCATACTCAACAAATCTAAACAGAATATCGGTGAATTTGAATCGATTTAATATCTCATTAATGAACGTCAAAACAAAAAAGAAAAAATCATAAACAAAAACTGGTAAATTAAGCTAAATCTTTAATGTGCAAAAGATATAAAGATTGAACAAAAGGAGTACATCGAGAAAAGATTCTCACAATTTTAAATCATAACCACCGTACTGACTCACAAACATCTCTGATTACTTTTTATCCTAACAATTTATTTTTTAGAACTAACACTCGCTCTTATTTTAGACAAATATAAAGAAGCAACACAAAAGCAAACCACACTTAAACATGCACTTATCACAGAACACTTTCATAAAAACCAGTACGAGATATAATTAGATTACGCTGACCTCTAATTATACCTCACAGTCGCTGTTTCAAGTTTTCAAGGTAATAAAATCTAGACGTCAGAGATTTTGATTCTCCTATTCATGTAACTTTCCTTAATTCCAAAAATTAAATAGAGGTAACAAAAGTTTTTCACATTTTTCTCTGTAAAATATGTAGACCTAAGACAAATGAAATTAAGGCAAACCCAAATCCCCGATGTTTGCCGGTTTCATAATCCAGAGGAATCGATATGCTAACAATATCGCCAAAAGGTAAAAATCCCGCTTGTAATATTTTTTCATTAACCTCCTCACCAAATCCACCAACGTACAACGTCCTCTTCTTGTTATGTGGAAAATTAGTTAACAATGACATTGATTACAACCTGAAATTTGAATAATATTTGAGATTATTATAAGATTCCTAACAACTATTGAACCTTTCACTCTTTATACTCGCTTCCGGATAGTTAGATCTTAGAAATTTTCAGTTTCACAGTTACAAATTTTCGACTTTTTTAATAGTAAGGTGAAAAATTTAACAAAGCGATTAGAAGCTTCAAAAAAATATGAAGCATTTTCTTGCTAAGATTAAAAAAATCGTATTCTTCTGCTAAAAGTCAAAGATCTGAGGACTGCTCTATATTCAGCTTTTAACTTGTACCATTAATCTAGCACTATAATTATATTTCTTCATCACGTGCTATACAGACATAATCCCCATAAAAACTGAAATACAATATATTGCATCAAAAACTCTACCAAACATACTTGCATTGCCAAAACTAGACCTTTGAACAAATTACTTGCTGCGCGAAGTTTAGTAAGAATTCAAAATTAAAAGTCGTACATTCGGTATACGTTGGGCCTTGTATAAATCAACTTAGGCGCAAATCTATGCAAATATCGTCGACTTTTGAACTTTGATGTCTTTTCTGGTATATTTATGACTTCTAGCTGCTTTAGCCTTCAGTAATTTGAGTTCCGTTACTAAATTGAATTTCAGAGTAATTTTTTTAATATCTTTTTGACCTAATTAGTACTTTAAAAATTCATTGACATTGTTTTAATGTTAATACTATTCACAAGTAAAACAGCTGTTTCGGTTTTAAATAGTTTGTATTTATCTTACCAGTTTTTATATTTAGTAATAATTCATCCGCACTGTGTTGAGCACTTCTCATGTAATTGGTAACTGTGTGAATGGTTTCATTATTTAGTATAATTGATTAATGATAAGCTTTTATCACTAGAGAGCAAGAACAGGTAGCATCAAACGAAAATAAATTAAGTTAATTTGAAATGAACTTTTTTGACCTTTCGGTATTCATTGTAGTTTTCGAAAATTTTGTACTTGTAAAATCCTGCTTAGCTTTAGCATAATTATAGTCGTTATTTTTTTTTACAATTTTGTGTAGCTAAAAAACGGAAAAAAATTTTGTTATATTTCCGGATATTTTCTGCCAGATTTTTATTTACTGCCCTGCTGCATATTCATATACCCTTGTCATAGTCTTTCATATTCTACGATTAATAAAGGTCATATTGTTATAAAAAAAGTCTTTATTTTAAATTCAGTACTCATCACTTGGGTTGTATGTAAAATAGCAAGGTGGTAACCCCGTTTAAAAACAAAGTGTTGTGAATAAACGCGTGAAATTGCCGCTTAGAATAGCCAAAACTACACAGCTGTTTCACAATATTTAGTAATATTAGATTTATGTTCCATGAAAGACGGAAAAACTATGCACCATAATAAAATACAGTGATAATTATACACGACAAATATGTTCAAAAAGTATAATTAAAGCAATTTGAAATCTATAAGCATATAACTAATCAAAATAATAAGAGCTAGTAATGATCGTACACTGACATAGCAATCTGTGAGTTACCCGGAAACTACCAAACAAATCCGTCCAGCACACTAATTGCTGCTGTATCTAGTGACTGTGATGAAGAAAAGGGCTAGTAGATTTGAATAATAATTAGTACTTCTTATGCTTCAATCAATCATTTACGACTCGAAATATAGCATCTTGTCAGTACAGTGATAATCTAATCCTATTTCAAGTAACTACACCATCAATAAGTGGACCAAAACTTGTAAAAATTAAAGAAAAACTAAGCAATAAAATCCAAATTCTATTTTTTAGTAAAAACAAATGGGATGCCTTAGTAAGCAGATGATAATAGATTGAGATGCATCTCAGTGGCTGATTTTCATTATTAAAAAAATTTTTTAACAGAAAAAGCAGAAGTTTGTTCCTCATCGAAAAAGAAGTACTTACAAGCATGGAAGATATTTTAGTTTTAACAAAACTAACACTCAAACTAATGACCATGAAAGATATGATGTAATACAGCCACGTAACAATTTTGTCAATTTCGGATTCAACAATAGCAAAGTTATGATAATAAAAGCAAATTGCAGTTTTTTAATTCAAAAAATATACAAATAAAATATTTAAATAGATTATAAAATTATATTTGCATTGATTTCTTCTAGTCTTCAGTTCATATTTGAAAAAATAAAAGGTAGATCGAATTTTCCAAAATTATTAATTCAGAAATGACATTTTTTAAAGATTTTGATATCATTAACTTGGATTCAGAACAGTTTTATTTTACACTTTTAGATGATTTTTGATCGGTTGTTGATTTCCATCGATAGATTAAACACAGTGAGCAACGCCTGTAATGCATGGAGCGCAACCACTGCCTTTTCCAAGAGCCATTGATGGTGGTCGTAAAAGAACGTCGACACAACATTCTGCACATGCAACACCTGCACCAGCTCTAAAATATAAGGAAAATATTATACCTCATATTTTTCTTGCAAAAATATGTAAGCAGAGCAAAGTTATGTTGACCCTGAACTTGCTTATTATGAAAATTCAAGTACTATTAACCTGCACTGACTAATGGCAGCTACTGAGGACCAGTGGTCTGTAGTCGGGTCATATGCTTCAACAGAACTCAGATATCTCACTCCATCATGACCTCCAATCGCATAAATTCGCCCACCCATAGATGCAACACCAACACCTCCTTTAAATCAAAAATGAAATAGATTAGATAGCTCAGATTTCTGGTTAAAAATAAAATTAAACCTCTGGGGCAAGACATTTGGCAGAGCAATGTCCACGTATTAGTTTCTGGATTATAACGTTCACACGATGGTAATGGTGCATTGTCATCGAAACCACCAACTGCATATAAACATCCATCGAGTACCGTGACACCGGCACCAGCTCTGAAAATTTTTATTGAAAGGATGTGCAATACGGTAGGTCTTTGAAACTTGAACTGTGTTTATGATTACATAGAACTATACAATTTTATGTAATTGCTAGTAATTATTTTGATAAATTCAATTGATATTGAAGACTTTTTCAGTGGCCAAAATCAATTGCTTAGCAGCGAGCGTTATTCACATTTATCAAAAAAATTACTAGCAGTATGCTGTTAAAAATGAATCCAAATTTATTTTCTGTCCGCAAAGCATGAATTACAGTCGAGAAGACATGCTTCTACTGAAAACAACCTTCGATGCTGCATGCTAGCAACTAATTTCCATTTATCCAGAAGTGGATCATAACGTTCACAAGAATCAAGAGATGAAGTTCCATCATTACCACCAACAGCAAATAAATATTTACCTACAAAAAATAAAATTAAAAATCTGCAAACTTCTTTTACACTAAAAAAGAACATTAATGGAAGTTCCGATTAACCCAATGCAGCTACACCAACACCGCCTCGTTGTACATTCAACTGCTCCACATTCGACCATTTATCTAATTCAATATCATATCGCTCAACGACCTATAACAATGACTAAAGTGCGAAAAAATCAACCATCTAGTCCATCTTCTATCAGACACTATACTTATTTAATTTTTCCCTTCATTTTTTGAAGAATATATCATTAGTACTTTAAACATGAAACACAATATCCAAAATGATTTATCCAGAAGCAAATCAAATTAAAATGGAAAAATGTTTGAAGTATACTTGAGAGCATGCAGTATCATCAAGTCCACCAACAGCGTATATTGCACGTTCTAGTGCTCCTACAGCTATGCCTCTTCTACGTGTATTCATTGAAGACACAGTATGCCACATATTTGTAGCTGGATCAAAACATTCAGCGGAACTTAAATGATTTGTCCCGTCATGTCCACCAATTGCATAGCTAAAATAAATACTGCATAATTTTCTAAAGGCAAACATAACTGTAATGTGAAAGCAGTGTTAAACAAATATGAAAATTTTAAACTTGTTTTACACTGAGTCCTATTCCGGATCGTGAAGAATATATTCAACGTCTTTAAGTAGGAATTAAAAAACTGTAGTGATACATTTTTTTAAAATATAGAAATGGATAAAACTAAAACACTAATTTCTTTAAATTTTGTTTTACCAAAAGTTAAAACGACTTTGTATGAAACTTTTTAACATTTTCAATGTATTTTCGACTCAAAGAACTGCGCATTAATAGATTTTTAGCTAACAGTTTTCCCTGAGCGCTAACAACGCCAACATGTCTCCGACGAATATTCATATCACTTATTGAGAACCATTTATCACGACGCCAATCATACGCTTCTACAGAACGAAATGGATCGCCAGAAGTACCTGAAAAACATGTAATTCCCATTTTCGTTCATAATTACGAATATCGTGAAAAATTGTCATCAGAATATTGTTTATATCCATGAAAAATCTCATGTACGTACGTCATATTTATAAGGATACAAAATTACATTCATATACGAAAAAAAATTAATGAATAAAAAATTTACCACGTCCACCAACACAAAATATAACACCTGCGGCACTTTTCCGAGGCCTGCAATTCGTCCATACTCCAACTGAAGACATTCGTAAGTGTAACTGCTTTTGTTCGGATAATTCCGCTGAAATTTCAAAACTTTTTATCAAAAATAGAGGAAAATTGAAAAAATGCAAGTCCAATTAAAATTAAAAGATAAAAATTTTCAAACAAAAACACAATACTTTGATTGTTTGTAGAATTAGTGGAAAGAGGATTTCCAGAGCCATAACCTGTGCCAGGGTGAGTTGGTAAAGAAGACGAACTTTCGATACTATGAGTTCCACAATTTCTTCCAAAACCAATATGTACACGCATCATTTCACTCATTGCATCAGCTACTAAATCTCGACAACGAACACATTCCTATAATGAAAAGAGCCAGTATTCGACAACTGTGACTAAAAAAATAAGTATAATGCTCACATTTTGCTATGTAGTAAGAATGATCTTTATAAAATTTGTTCCAGTTGAAAAATAAAGTGTAATAAAATCGTAAATGGATTTTGCATTTTCCATAAACAGAAATCCAGACAGTTGATCACACTTTCAACTAATGAAAAAATTTCCAAACCAAAAAGTATTAAATACCATAATGAGAGGATGCTTTATGACATTATTCAAAAAGTAGGCAATAGGCAGTTGCGGCAAGCGAACTAGAGCAAGTAAATCTGGCAAGCACTTCTTTCGTTCTTCAATATTCTCTTCAACCCAAAATATCACCGTTTCGAAAACCTGAAGAATTAGAAATTATGACAATTTGGTTGCATTAATTCCAAGAATTCATAAATTTCACTCATACCATATTTTATACTTTTGCTTAGTTCAATATAAATAATCAGCAAAACACCATAAACTTTACTAAGCAATCAAATAGAAAGGACACACAATAGAGCAGCTATTTCCTACAATCTTTCCTTTGCTGACAAAGTAATATACCACATAACCTCTTGCTCATTGTTGACTTTCAGATCAGAACTTCTTAAGAGATCTACCAAATAACTAAATGGTATCTGCATGAAATCGGGAAGTACTCGTAATTCCTGAATTGGTTTTGTTTAAGAAGTATTTCCAATTATTTTATGAAAATCAAACTGAAATGACAATAAAAATATAACATAATTTTCTGCAAAACAGACTGGAAAATGCTCAACGGCAAAGTCATCTACGGATGACATAAGGCTGACGCAGTTATGCTGCTCAGCAAACTGTCGTATTGACAAGCAATTAGTAGTGGTCAAATACTGTGTTAAAAAACGTTGACATGCACCACATACAGTATCCATCTGCAATGAACAAAAAAGAAAGTTTAAAATGTTTTTAAATGTTTTGAAAAATGCTCATCAATATTTTGGTGAAAAATAAGCTTGTATGTTCTTAGTGAAGAAGCATGACTATAAAATTTACTTCATAGCAAAGAGAAGAATTTAATCTAATCTTGTGCTGACTTCTAATCAGTATACAAAACAAACACCCAAAATTAAGCTAGGAACTCAAAGACATTAGAAATCAAAAAATACGCAATATCTGATGCCGTGCCCAAAAAATTATAGACCTGTAATATGCTGGCAGCAAATAACAACTGTTGAGCATTATCACTATTGATGTGTACTTTACTGGTGTAAGCAAAATCCAAAAGCTGTTTGAAAGCTGAAGCCGGAATATCCTAAAGAGCTTCAATCCAATGCAAATACATAGCCAATAAAATACATGGATAATGTTTCATTAAGATTTAGGCAGCTAACTCTATTAAATTTATTCAATATAAAATGACTGATGAACCTGGACTACAATCCTATTTTGCCGTGATTCTATCATATCTGATGAAAACATAGAACGAAAATAAGGTATAGCTGCAGCCAGGACGTATCGATGAGCATTAAAAACAGTCCCTCCAACCTAAATTGAAAAACTTGGAAAAATAATGTTGTTTTATGTAGTACAAAAAAAACCAAATCAACTATATCCTTAAAAAATTATTATAATAAGCAATTTTTAATTATGAATTTCAATCCTCATTTTCAATCGTAATAGTTCATACTTTGCATTTCTTCCATGTAACCAAAAAATGCTAAATTATTAAATCTTTCTGTTGCTGTGCAACAATATAATGCACCTTTCAAAGTCCCAAAAAGATATAAGTGATGAAGAATTAATGCGACTGTTAAAACAAAATTTTGATGTACAGAAACCTGAACAAAAACAATACATCAGTTTTTTCAAATTGATAATTAAACTATCCGTTGATTAAACTAAACACTCAATTGCAATCATGAAATTTGAGTTCCGTATATTACTACAGTTCTTCTCAGAGTAGTGACCAAGAGCTTGTAATTTTCTTAGAGGACCCTAAGCTTACTTACAAGTGATTTCAGTTTTCAATATCAAATAAACTTACCTCAATTTCAACATCACACATAAATTTTTCATCACGAAATTGCAACATATTTGAAAGAACGAGATTAGAATGTGAGCCATCATGAAATTCTGTTGATTCCATAATATTCGACGTGTTGTTATTTGAAGACGCCACAACACTGTGAGATGATCCAAAATGTGGAGCAACCAAAAAATTGCTAGCACACGTAATTACTGTTGGATCTAAGAAAGCATTTAATTCTTAAGCACATAATTTTTGCCAAATCCAATAACTTTCACTGTCTGCAGTAAATTCTCAATTAAAGAAAACTACCAATTCTATTTGACAGTATTTCAAAATTTCATGCCTTCTCGGCAATGTAACTCTATTGTAAAATCACAAGCAGAATAGATTTTATACTTGTGGAATCTAAAAATCTTACAATGTATTAGCAACAAAATGATTTAACTCCTAATACATAAAAAATGAAGAGAAAACTTTTAATAGCCTCAGCAATAGCAAATTCTTTAAGTATTTTGATTTACAAGAAATTAAATTCTCAAACTGTACAATTATATCTGTCAATAATTACAACTATCTGCTGATAACACTACTGTAAGAACAAAAAAAAAATCAATGAATAAGATTAAAAAAAACCATTAATGACTCCACTTGGAAAAAAATCCATAGAATCTTCCATCTCAGTTCGTATTCGTTGATCGCGTAATCTATCTGAACACTTTCCTTGATGAAAAGTCTGTATTAATGGAGACCGTCTTCTGGGACGTTCTATAGTATCAATACCGTTTGAACTTGATGTGGAGTACTCATCCTATAAAAATTACACTGTTCAAAAAGTTTTTCAAAAAAAAAAACCATTTATACGAATTTACTCATATCTTTCTATTTTTTAACCTGTAGAAGAAAAATTAATTTTAACCAAAAGCTTAAAACAGATAGTTCCTATCCTAAACAAATGACCTGTTGCATGTACTTGACCCATTATGAGTATCGATGCATCCAACCATTTTTTATGCAAGTCAATAAATGAACTCACTAATTCAAAAATCATGAATATTACTTTAAAAAATTTTATTACAAGCTTTGATATTTAAAATTTTTTCAATGGAATAAAGCAAAAAGATTTCATAAAAACGAATTTGTTGTGACAAAATGAGTGCAGAATATCTAAATTATAAGAATTAAAAATTGCTAATTAACGAATTCAATCAGATCAATTGTATAACTTTATCTCTGAGAAACAGATGCCAAAAAAACACCACTGATTCCCGACAAGAAATCTCTCATTCTTGAAATCAGTAATGAAACTGAAGTGCAAACTAAAATAAATCTTGCTGATGAAGCACATT